GCGTCGGCCGACACAACCCCGAGGCCGTCTATTAGTAGGTCTCAGACGTTCCAGGGGCCAGCTGCGACCGACCGACGATCCATGGCTGCTACCCCGCCAGTGCCTGCCGTTTCTCACATTGGATCTTTGCGTGGGAATCTGAGGCCTACCGGTAGACCAATGGCGAGCGACGTGTTTGCCGACGATGACCACACGACGGTAAGCGGTAGCGGCAGCCCGGAATGGAATGATCGCAGTGCCAGCCCGGCCACCAGCATGGGAAGCAGCTTGACTCGGAGCACAAGCAACCTGCAAGCAAAGAAAGCACCTCCACCTCCTCCCCCAAGCCGAGCCAAGAAGCCGGCGCCCCCAGTCCCCGCTAAGCGGGAGGTTGGGTACTAGATATACACCGCTTTTTGAGATTCTTCTGTCAAAGACGGCAGTGGGCGGGCGTAGCGATGTGCGAAATTGTTGTCTTGGGTCTTAATGCATCAATAGACTGTTCATTCCGTGACGGGATATAGGGGCTCCCGACAGGAGCAGGGCGTTTGGGCGTGTTAACATCCGTGGGCTGGATCCGCAACTATTGGTTCCCTCATCGCATAGCTTCTGAAAAGAAGAACGTATGGATTAGAGATGACCGGGTTCGACTCTCCAGATACTGAGTAAGCATGGATTCTGTTTTCCTGGCTGATTGTCACCAAGATTGTCAAAGTTTTCGCCATGAGTGACCTTCGCTCCGAGCCTTTCGGCATGAATTGCAACATGAGGCGGTACTTTAGAGTCCGACTTTGAGTACCACGGCCATACAAGAGCTTTCAACGCGACTGTGCAACTGCGTAGAGGATCAGAACTGATATTTGAAGTAGCCATCAGGCCCCAAAGGCAAGCCTGGGTTGTGAAATCGAAGAAGACTTCCTACATCGGCGACGGTCGTTTGCTCACGGTATTCATATCCGCGTTGGGGGCCATTATCCTAGTGGATACCTACTTCCTATGGCTACCTTCCTTAGAGTTCAGGTAGGTTTTTTCACAACGCTGGGGCTAAGATACCTTACCTCACCAGCCACATTTCGTCCCGCATCGACAGGGGAGAAGAAAACATGCGCCACATCACGTGCGCTGGCTGTGGCCCGAGCTGTCTTTTGCCTGAGGTGAGTAGATCCCATGTGCCCGCCTGTGGTGCCAGGGCAGCTCAGCTTATCGGCCAGCATCGATAAGGTCTCTGGGCTTTCGCCCATTCCATCCCAGGCAGGCTCTCTTCCCTACAGTTTGATCTGAGGGTTGTGATGTTGGATCAATCAACCAACTCTCCCCTCTGTTATTGGACAGAAGACAACAGCACCTCCCCTAAGCAATTCTCCTGCGTAGCGATCGCTCCGTCTACACTGCGCCAACATCCACCTCGTTCATCTCGCGACCATAGTTAAAAGCACTCTCAATCGGTTGCTCACAACCTGCCAGCTTGCCGCGATGGCAACCGAAGATGCGCGATACCGACTTTCGACACAGTATCGACTGTGGTCGTTCTCCCCAGCCAAACTAGCGGAATTACGAGAACAGACCAATTCTCTGGCGAAGACAAATATTACCAGTCGCCTTGTGGAAACGAAACGCGTGGACCTCGATGCGGCCGAGTCGATGCCAGAGTTCTTGACACCTCCCGAGGAGACACAACTGCTCAAGTTCTTCACCGTGGAGTTGATTCGCGCTGCAGACTTCTGTGGGCTCCCGACAGAGGTTAGAGCGACTGCGACCGTTTTCCTCCGTCGATTTTACGTCACCAACTCCATCATGACGTACCCGCCTCAGGATATCCTCAAGACCTGTCTATTCTTCGGAAGCAAGGCTGAGGGACTGTACACCCGCCTGGCTAAGCTGGCTGATAAATTCCCCCACACTACTGAGGAGGAGATTCTGGCAGGGGAGTTCTTGCTGTGCCAAGGAGTTCGGTTTGCCTTCGACGTCAGGCACCCGTTCCGCGCGTTGGAAGGAGCGATTCTGGAACTTCGGCGTCATGCCGACCTCGAGGTACGTTGTGATTCTCGCGTACTCACGCTGCTTTTCCGCACTCTTCTAACGAGCCGTACAGAAAAACCGAATCGATGCCGCTCATTTCCGTGCCCGCGCTTTCCTCAAGTTTAGCTCTCTCGTCACAGACGCGTACTTTCATTACACCCCGAGCCAGATCATGCTTGCCTCACTTTCTTTGGCTGATCGAGGTCTGGCCGAGAAACTCGTCCAAAGCGCCTTTGGACCCGCTCAAAACGGCACCTCGAACGAAGGCGAGAAAGACCTCGCCCGACACGACATACGGGATAAAGTCATGGGAACCATTGAGGCGTGTAGGGAGCTGCTAGCGACCGAGCCGCCCGAGAGATTGGACGAGTATTGGGGAACTGTATGTTGAGTTCAAAAGTCGCCCTACTTAGATCGCGGCGAGACTGACTAGGAGACAGGTCGAGGCGACGAAGGTGATTAAACCTCTGATCCGAAAACTGAAAAAGTGCAGAGACCCCGACCGCGCAGATCTTGTGGCCTTGCAAAAGGCTCGACGAGAGTTGGCTTCGCAGAAAGAGACGCGGATATCGAAAGGTGAAGGTGACGGGTCTGTGTTCGACGGTAATGGCGGAGGACTCGGCGGTAATGAGGCGCGGGATGCGAAGCGACGAAAGGTTACGGAAGGCGACGACGTATTTGGCCCAGCACTGGGTTAAGTCTAGAGCATCCCATTGCTGTTTTCCTGCCTCGGATGGAATCATTTGCTTTCGCAAAGCAGAATTCGGTCGCAACAACGAATGCACCTAGCGGAGAGGTGTCGGCGGTGCACGCGGAGCCTCGCCAAGCTCACGGAGGATGACGGGAGAGACCGACTGTCCCGATTCGGCTTTACGAAGAGATACCCAATATTTTCCCCCACGACCCCTCGCGCTTCTTCCGATGGTGAACATCGTGGCGGTGCCCAGATTTGACAAATTCCCAACTCGAAACGCGCCAGCATGCGCCCCTCGCTTGCAACTTGATGGACAGTCGGGGAACAATCACCGAGAAGTGGCTCATTTAGACACCAGCGGAGGCCTCAACGGGTTTAACTCTGTTGCACTCTGGATGGCAGGGTAAGGACATGCATGGCTGGAGAAAGTGCAGCTGCCAAGCAACGGTTCCTAGGGAGAGAAATGCGCCATTGGCGCACTTTATGGAATAAGCGCCAAAATTGCGATCTGTCAAGTGAATCGATGACGCACCGTTTTCATGATACTATCGTCAATGGCTATAACGCAATGTGATGGAGTCGGCACAACCGGCCTTTAGAGCTCTTGGGTCCCAAGGAGCTTCACCCATGTCCGCTTGCTTGGCCACGCTTTCACCATGGCACTAAACCGATCGCGGATACGTGTCTCGGTGGATTTGGCGTCTAACCGGAGCACCTCGCCAACACCTGGCACACCATGGAGACGAGACACTACTTAGGGCGAAGCCAAGGGGGAAATGGGAATGGCCCGACTGGCCCTGCATTGGGGTCGACTATCCTTTTGGCTATTGCGGGGAAAGCGGCTGCAATGCTACACGAACCAGAACATCTCTTGCCCTTCTCATTCGAGTTTTGTCGCGTCTTGACAACACTCGTGCTAGCCAGGTATTGTCGATGAAAACATGGTGTTTGATGATCCCAGTCTAGGTTCAATGGCAGATTACGGGAACAATAAGCCAAACCATAAGACGGGCAAAAGAGCGTAACCTTGAACATCTACAGGCTCGGTTTCGCGCGGTTCTTACGGATATACTCTATGTTCAAGGTAGCTATGACTTAAGGCAAGGATTGCCATGTTGGCAGCCCGCCGGCATGCATGCCAAGCAGGAGTACCATCCAGCATTGCACGGCTCGTTGTTCGGCGCCATCGGAGTCTCTCCCGTCTTCAATGGCGCTAAGCGGCCTATCCTGACGACATCGACTTTTTTCTGTAGTCCCCCTCACCCAAGCTGTGCCAGTCGGGCGCAGGCTTACGCAACTTCCAAGACCCGACATGCTGTCAATGGCGTCCCAGACTCGGACATCCCAAGCTTCTCGCAGCTAGGTGGTTCCCTAGCATTCCGCGTTGTCTACTTAGCTTCGTGAAAAACCAGTCGGCAGAATGCTAATCTGACCGCAATGGGACTTGGAATCGCATGTTCGGACGGGAATTGCCTCTCGATCACCATCACGGGGTTCGTCTAGCACAAGCATAGCTAGCAGTCTAGAACTGCAGCTGCTAGCCATGGCTCTTGAAAGATCTTCGGAACTTCTATGTAAGGCAACGAAGGTACTGGCAAGACCATTGCCTTGCCATGGTGTCGGGTCTCAATTAATGCTGAGCCAGTGCAAGTCCCCCCCCCCCCCCCCCCCCCCCCCCCCCCCCCCCCACCAAAACACCCCCCCCGCCCACCGCCCCCCCCCCCCCCACCTCCTCCACACCACCTCCCCCGTTCTCCGCCCCCCCCCTTTTCGCGCCCCCCCCCCCCCCCCCCCCTTGGCGTATACGCCGGCCAAAAACGACTTCACGATCGGCTTGGCACCCAGCTGGCGATCCTGTTAAACAGCTCATTGGTCCTCTGCCAGCGTCGTGCTCTTTTGCGAGCTAAGGAGGCTTCTCCACCCCCCTGGTCTGCGTGTCTGCCCCGGTCCAGTCCAAAGTCCCAGTCCCTGGCGCGGTCGTGATGTCGACCAAGACCCTTGTCTGGGGACAAGAAGCCCGGCAGGCCTCCTGGTTTCTTCACCCAGCCTGGGCAACAAGCTTGATTCGGCGCGATCTGGTAACCCACGACGACGCGATTGGTTTGATCACTCTTGGACTGAGCTCACCAAGGTGTTTTGCATGATTCGTGCCAACTCCCGATGAGGAGCTTTCACATTACTTTAAATGCTGCCACCTCCACCGCCGTATTTCGATTCTCCAATATCCATCAGTCCGAGTTATTTGTAGCCTTGATACCCAACCCATTCGAATCACTAGAATCCGTTCCCTGTACGCAAAACAGCTACCATGCAGGTCAAAAATCTTATCCCTCTGGCTTTGGCCAGCGCTGTGCTCGCCCAGAGCCAACAAAGCTTGACGGCTGCTCTAGCCTCTCAGAATTCTAGCTTGTCGTCTCTCACAGGTAAGCGGCCACCAGTTCTACTCGAATGAGGCCCTCTAACGTTTCACAGCACTCCTGGGCACCCAGCCGGCTCTGGTCCAAGCCCTTTCTCAAGCACAGAACATCACCATCCTGGCACCTAGCAATGCCGCTCTCGAGGCATTCCTAGCAAGCCCCGGTGCCCAAGGTGCTGCGACTAACCCCGGCCTCGTCGCCGCGATTCTTCAGTACCACGTCCTGAACGGCACCTACTACGCCTCCCAGTTCACCGAAGAGCCGCAGTTCATCCCCACCCTGCTGTCCAACGAGACTTATGCCAACATCACCGGCGGTCAGCGCGTTCAGGCCCAGACTGTTGGCGGTAACGTCACTTTCTACTCTGCCTTGAGGGAAAACTCGACCGTCACGGCCGGCAATGTTAACTTCACCGCTGGTACCATCCACATCATCGACAAGGTCCTGAGCGTTCCCCAGCCGATTCCTGACACCCTTCGCGCTGCCAACCTCACTGCTGCTTTGGGTGCTGTCCAGGCCGCAAACGTCGGCCCCGCTCTTGCCGCCGCAAAGGATCTGACAATCTTCATCCCCAACAACGAGGCCTTCCGCTCCATCGGCAACCTCACCGCCAACCTGACCGCCGCGCTGCCCAGCATTCTTCAGTACCACGTCGTCGCCGGCGCCGTCTTGTACAGCCCCGATATCACGAACACTTCATTGACCACACTCAATGGAGGAAACGTCACCATCCGTGTCATCAATGAGACCGTCTACGTCAACGAGGCCGAGGTTCTCATTCCCAATGTCCTTGTAGCCAACGGTGTCGTCCACGTCATCGACAAGTAAGTTGTTGCAAATGAAGCAGACTTGTAACATTCTCACTGACTATCCTCAGCGTCTTGAACCCCAATAACACGTCCCTGGAGCCTGATACCACGGCTTCCACCCGCGCGCCCGCATACACTGGCGCTGGTACTGCTACCGATGGCAGCAACCCCTTCACCAGCGGCATCACCGGTCCCACTTCAACTGCTCCGCTTGCCACTGAGACTGGTGCCAACAACGGTGGTGGTGTCCGAACCACCTCCTCCAGCACTCAGGCCGGCCCCATGCGCACTGCTGCTGTTGGCGCTGCTGCCCTCTTTGGTGGTATGGCTGCTTACATGAACATCTAAATGTACTCATTATACGACAAAAGTTAAGTATGAGGCAAGGAAAGAGGGAGAGTTATGGAGAACTTTTGATTCGGTTGGAGAAGTCGTATCTCAATACTGCAAGTTGATACCAATGGGTTATAGCTCATGTTCGTTCGTTTGATCAACTATACCACAAAGCTTGTGAGGAAGGGTTTCTGTCATATTGGTGGAGGATTGTAATATGCTACGTAGGCGACAATTAATCTACTTCAATAAGCTATGTTTGGATGATTCACTTATTCTCAACCAGTCACCCAGAAAACAACGTCAAGCTCTTGCCACAATTTGTTAGCACGCCCTTCGCTGGAGATCTCCATCAATTTCAGCAGTGAAATGGGTTACGTTATCAAGGAGTACACTTGACATGCGGGTAGCAGATTTTCTTCTTGACAGAGTGGCACGGTGAATTACTGGCACGGTAGAGATCGGTTTTCGATTTAGCGATGTTTGGTTTGTCATTTGACTCGGAAGCTGGAAGATCGCCCATTCGCTGAATTATTTCGGAACCGAAAACTCGGTACCGGTCATCGGAGCCGACAGAACCGATGTTTCATCCAAAGTAGCCCCATATCAGAAGTGACCCCGCGATCCAATGGAAGCGGGAAGAGACAGGTTTGATAATGACGAAGCAATAAAAGTGTGGCAGTAGTGTTCATCATGAGCCTCCATCTATTGATGAAAGAATGTCGAAATTCTATATTAGCGAGAAGACTCAGGATTCTTTTGGCTATTCACATTACCATCGTACATTTCGAAGAGGCCCCAAAGCAATCAATTTCGAAATGTCTTCTTTCCACATTGCGATTGCCGGTGCAACAAGCAATCTCGGACAATCATTCGATTTTCAAATCACTTCTTGACGCTGGATTCATTGTCACAGCCCTATTTCGACCTGGAGGCAATGCTTCTGCTTTGATCCACACTCAATCTCATCATCAAAGTAGTCGACGCCCTCACCTCCTCCGACTCACTCCACTCCAACCCGCTCTCCTTGGAATAGACATCATCATATCATGTGTTGCAACGCTAGCTATAGGCAGCCAGAAACCCCTCATAGATGCTTTAGTTGCAGCTGGGGTGCGGAGATTCATCCAAGCAGAATTTGGAATGGACTCTGCCAATGGTCTCTGAGCGCAGCTGCCCGTTTGCATAACCCTAACGACTGCCCCCCAACCCCGAATTTTCAATGACAGAACCTGCGGAACCCGGAGATCAATTACCCGAGCCAACCGTACATGATGGTCGTGAAGATGATAGAATCAATGATATAGAGGAACCCGGAGATCAATTACCCGAGCCAACCGTACATGATGGTCGTGAAGATGATAGAATCAATGATATACAGGCTCTCTCTTAGATACGAAGACTCGGAGGCTTTACTTCAAAACAACAGCCAGACAGCGAGACGCCGAAGCCAGTCGGCTCACCTTGGTACAAACGTGGAAGAAGTTCAAGTGCCACTGAAATGCCATCAGGTTACATGACGTAGTCAACAAAAGACGTTTGACTTGTTTTAGTACTACAACCCGAAACCGACGTTAGACTTTGTAATGTCCATTCAAGCTGGTAATGCGATCATTTGGACCCAGTTGCTGACGTGCCAGATGTGCAAAGGCTGTTGCAGCTCCCAGCGCGAAAAACGAGTATAAATCACTCGTCGCTATACTGCGATACGACCGGGATGATGAGAAAATCTGAAGTCACAAAGATTTGCTTGACGAAGATATGCATTTGCTACTACGAAAGGATGAAGAGGCAGATGAAGCCCTAAGTAAGGCTAGTGACCGGCCCAAGTGTTGCTTTCAAGGTGAGCTTCGTGCGACAAGCCTCTAAGACAAGAGGGAGCGCCTCGAAAGACAAAGGAGCGGAGAACGACGCGCATGTGTACTTTGTTTGCAGGGATTTTTGAGGAAGACTGAGTCAACTGGGATAATGTCACTGGCTGATCTAAGAATAGAAGGCTGTCGGTTATACTGACAATCAAACGAGAGGCCGGCTTGATTGGCGCAAGCCTGTCCCAGAAGCCGGCAAATCTACACCGGTGCTGGCTCCCATTCTTTCGTTCCCAATTGGAAGTCTTGCCAACTTGAGAAAAGCCTCCTGTTCTTTTGCCTTGTCTGTTTTAGTCTCCTCTTCAACCCTTCTATCCCCAGCATCGTTGGAATGCTGTTGATCTTGGACCTGATTGATAGCTTGCTCGACACGGTCCCACCTTAAGGCATGTCGGCGAGCTTGTTCCTTCTTGATGTTCTCTTGTAGCTCATTTGAGGTATCCAGCTGAACGGTATACATGGGATTTCCGTTCTCGCCAGAAGACGGAGACATACCACCTGGCTTGTAAAGGGGAATAGACCGGCAGGCAGATACCAAAGCACAGTGGAATCTGTTGCTCCGCTGAGAGCGAAGTTTATCGTCTGACCAGTTGTTGCGATGGGTGAAGGCAATTCTCAGCTCCATTTTGTTGAGCTCATGAAGGCTTGCAACGTTCAACCCTAGTGTCTCTGGAACATAGTCTCTAGAGTTCTGGGCAAGAAACTCCTCCAGTATGCCTCGAAGACGCATGATATCCGTAAAACTGGTCCTGAAGTCCACGAACAAGGACAATCCTTGACGATTGATACCAGACCTCGTGTAGTTTTCGACTCGTTTTTGAGTGAGTTGTTCATTGGAGATTTGTAAATCGCAGTTGTTGTCAAGTCGTCTGAAGACCGTGTAGAGAAGAGACTGGCGTTTGACCGTACAGGCAATGCCTATAGTTGCGCCAGCGTTACAGATGTTGATGACGTCGCCGATATCGTAAGGGTGGTCGAAGAAAACAAAGACGATGCCAACAAGAAGATGATGGAATGTCCGACCAACAGCGAATGAGAGACCAATAGCTAAAGAAGACAAGACACTCTGAATTTCCTTCATCGCTGGTACGTATGCAATCACTGTGCAAGTTGTCAGAGACATCTTTTGAGGGACGAACTGAGGGACTTACTAATGAAAAATATCATGACCGCGGCAATGATGAAGAGACAAAACCAGTCGAAAGTGTTAATGCAATGGTCCATGTTGTTGATGTTGCGGTATATGTCCTGGCGCGTTTTGCCTGCTTCCAGAATGATCGCCATGAACTCCTCAAGGCGGATGTCGTGGTTTTGACCTTCGCTCAAGGTGGCAAAGATTTTGGTGGCTTCCGGCGTGCGATGGGGACCAAGGATTTCTTTGATGTCATTCAGAGTTAAGCCAAACTTATCTTGAGCAACACACGAAAACCAGATCCGCCTTGCAAGTGCAGTCGCCGAGTCTTCATTTCCCCAAGCACGCTCTATGATAGCATAGGTACTTGCTGGACGCATCCAATGGGCATGAGGGTCATCGGAAATAAAATTTCCGAATAGTCCAACAAGCTTGTAGCCATCAAGGCCGAGTCGAGCAAGGTAGCTTGAAACCCTCATTCGCTCTTGTTTATGGCTTCCGCCGTTGGCATTGCGGATGATCATATCCTCGTCGTCGAATGTGCCACGATGGAAAGGGTGAAGGTATATCGATGCGTCGTAAAGTGTGATAAGGGCGTTCTGGAGATCTTTCGTGCGAGTAAGCTTGGAGTGATTTGCTCGATAGTGATAATGTACGGAGATGTAGGATATCAATAGCTTCTCGACAAAATAGAAGGCCACCCAAAGAGTAGCCTGTTCCAAAATGTCGGCTACAACATCGTCCCACCCAAATGTGTTCGGATCCTTGTTGACATTTACAGCAAGGAGTTCATTTGTGTTGATACACTAGAATGACAATAATTACTAAAATCGCCACGGAAACTGCGTTTGAATGAATATGACTTACAGCAGCAAAGAAGATAAAGGTTACAATAGTCGTGCCTAGAAAGCAAATCGGGCGACGCATGAACTTCAAGATTCTCCAGTACCTCTGGTGGGAAGAGTTGATGTATCTAGGTGGATTCATTTTAAGCGCCTGGCCATAGATTTCTTGGTATCTCGTGCACTGACCTAGCAAGAAACCTAAAGAGATATGGCAAGCCGAGTCCCAGAAGATCGAAGAAAACGGCTGCCACCCAGGTAACCTCTAGCCATAAGCTGATGTAAAAAACCAGGTTGCGGTATTGTTTGTCCTGGATTGATTGTGGAGTGGAGTCGTCGGCTAAGTCTGCATCATTGCTCAATGTAAGGAGAGGAATAAGAAATGCAACGAAGATGACGACGACAATTACACAGTATCGAACGGCCCACCAGACAAGACGTTTCCGGTGCTGAGCTACAACGGTGGGTGGCAGAGGCAATGGTGGCGCGTCGATGTTCTCAGGGATCTGATGTCCCTCTGCTGCTGGCGAAGCCTTCGTTTCTACCCAATTCTTCATTGTGTGGTGCTCTGGGGAGGCTTGATCAGATTGAGAGGGGAAAATGGGGGTTTGAGGATGTATAGCAGCCGTAAAGCTGGGGGAAGATGAGGGAGAAGCCAGAGGAAGCCGGGTATCTGAGGTCATACGTTCGACCTGCTCACTTGGAAGTGGCTTTCGATAGCTAGGAAGCAAGCTACCACCAGAACCAAACTCCATTTTGCTTATTCAATAAGTTCATGGATATCTGGCAACAGGAAATACGGGAGACCCTCAACATTTATGAAGTGAAGGCCCCCCTTTTTTGAAATTTGTTTACCTGATCTTGGGCCCCTAGTGTTCATAGGGCTCAAATCAAAAGCCGAGACTATTCTAGTAAGAAGCTTAAAAGACAGTCTTGGCATGCTTCATATCCAGCCACTGGCAAAATACGGCGAAGAAAGATTATGAAAGGGGCGCCGAGGTCGCCCTCCCGAAATACACACTCCCCACGTTTGTACTTCGCACTTGATTTGTGGATTGGTAGTGCTGACGAGCGCTGGTTAGCAGCGGGACCAAGGTCCTGCATCTCCACAGTTTGTAAGATAAAGTAGCCCCTCAATAGTGGAAGGAGTTTTAGTTAAGCGCGGCTGAAAGCTATGGATCAGCGAGGCTTCGTGCTAGTAAAACCGGGCTGAATTAGGGGCGGTTGATGGTTGCGGCTTAGGTAAATTCTCTCCACACTAGGCCTCACATGCACCTATCTTCAAAACGATTCCTTTCAGTCCTAGTCCATACACAACCTCTTGCTGTGATTATCCCCTCTTTGATGTGTTCATGCCTTGTCATAGCCATGAGTCGAGCGGCAGCAGGGCGTTGTACGTATCCGTAATCCTAGACTACCAAATTTTCAAGTCTTGTTCTAGCGATAGTTAGGTAGCTGAATAGGGTTGGCAGCAGGTTAATGCCTAATAGGTGAGCCGAAAATAAAGGGCGCGTATCGTGCACGAAACACTCGACACGGATTCAATGGAATCTGGAATATCTCGACCTTCAAATCGCTTCATGTCTTTCCAGGGATTCTCACTTGCACAACAATTGGAGGAGAATTCTATTTCGGCGAATGAGATGTCTCTAACTCTCAGAAGGATAGCTTGGAGTCGATCCATTAAAACTGTAGATACCTCCCTTAGTGCGCCCTCAAGGTAAGGTACTTACTTGGTATACGAATCATTCAGATGACTTGGAGTTGCCGCAAGTCTCCAGGCTCCATAGGCCTCGTCAGAGAATTTCAAGAGCCTAGTCCAAGTGAAGCAACAAGCGGTAACGTCTGTATAGAAATCTAAGGCGAGGAGGAAAATATTAGAAACCGAGTTCTTACTAGGGCGTTGGAATAGATCCTTCGCCGGCCCGCTGCGGCAGAATATGGGTGCCAATCCGGATTCGACCCATCAGGGCTAGCCCGTAACGGCACAGATCTGAGCCGCACCTTGGATTTCTTGCTTGTTAAGTGGAACCATAGGTCTACGAGATTTTCTTATCTTTCTGAGGCCCTCAAGAGCTGTGCGAGCTGAGTGTTCGTGTAGATGATCCTCTTGTTGAGGTGTTGTTCTCATGGAAAAATGACGTCCCCACCTTGTATCTCTTCATACGAAGCAGCTTTTGAACGTCATGAATCGAAAATTCAGTACGCCTTCTGGTGCAAAAGCTGGTAGAGCTGCTTTCAAATCAAGTGTGTCGAATCGGCAAGGTGATTTCTCGTACATTGGGGATACTTGAGATATGCCGAAGAGGCTCAACCTCTTGCGCCGACGCAATATCATTTTGCAATTTGTACTAAGCTCTCTTACTAAGCAGTACTGAAAGTTACTCCAGTCTAAGAAAGCTTTTCGATGACCACCCATTGCTGGCGCAATCGGAAATCAGACACAACAAAAGTATACCGAGTGACTTATAATAGGCGTCACAGCTATGGCGAAGAACAAGAATAACATTCTTCGTTGGTGCATCTGAGTTCGAGTTAAGGTGAGGTTCCTCGGCATGACTGGGAGGTTGATGCTTAGTGTTCACTGATCCATCTCAGATACACGTCAAGTAACAATGCCGAAACTTTAATAAGAATTAATTAAACCAAACGCGGGCGCTTTGGCCTCTGCATTCCTAGAGATTGATCTTGCGTTTATGTATGTGTCGGAGTTTGCTACCGCGGAGTCGTAGCCGGGCACCCGGGGTCCGGAACCCCAGATTGGGGGCCAATTTCAGTTGGGGCAATGATGGTTGGGTCCTTTCACGTGCCATCTTGAATAATCACGCCCCCAATTTTCGTCAGGTTGCGCAATGATGGCGTGCGAATCCGTATTAAGAACAGGACGGGCATTGGGTGAGGCCTGTGACCGAAACTTACGTTTTGAAACACATGACGCCATGAGAGACACGCCTCACAAGACAGAATGTACCCGTATTCTTATCAAGCATCACTGTCCGTGGACACGCGCCTGAGGCCGATGACACCGCCCAGGTTCCCTGTCAAACGCGTATCTTTACCGGGAAGCCGGACAGCCGAACCATGTCAACAGGATATGTCGCTATTGCTTGACTTCATTGGTGAACAACGTTATCTTGATACTCATTATATATCCAACTGAAGTTCCACGAAGGCTGCCAACTTGGGTCCGTTACATTTGGTTTGCGCGCTCTTACCGCCTAGTTCAGTAATACCCCAACTCGCGTTCTCATACGGTATCGATCCAGCGACACCACTCAGCGATATGAGTAGCCACGAAACCCCGGAGTTGCAGCCGCTGATCCCATCTACGCCACGACGCTTGTCGACTTCAGGCAGCTCAGATACCAAGCAGCTCGTAACCAGAATTGATGAGCCGAATGAAGAAGACTTTGGGACTGGGCTGACGTACCCATCACGCTCAATTGAAGACGATGTGCTTCCAGAGACATCGACACTCGGCCGCACGTTGACCTGGCAAAGCGCCTATATTCTTGTCATCTCAAGAGTGATAGGCAGCGGGATCTTTGCTACTCCGGGCGCAATTCTTCGCTCAGTTGGGAGCCCCGGTCTGTCACTCTCGCTTTGGCTTGTTGGCGCAATAATTGCTGCATGCGGGTTGATGATCTCCCTAGAGTTTGGCTCGATGCTGCCACGGTCTGGGGGAGACAAAGTGTACCTAGAATTCACGTATCGTCGACCTCGATTCCTAGCATCGACCCTCGTCGCCATCCAAGCCGTTCTTCTGGGATTTACAGCGAGCAATTGCATCGTTTTTAGCGAATATCTGTTATTTGCACTGGGTGGCGATAACCCCAGTGATCTCCTTCGAAAAGGTATTGCAGTTGGACTCCTCACATTCGTTACCCTGGTTCATGGTTGTTTCCCACGCTTCGGTATCAGGCTGCAAAATGTTTTGGGTTGGATCAAGGTTGCCCTGATTGTCTTCATGATATTCTCAGGTCTCTACGTTGTCTTGTTCCGATCAACGGAAGAATCTGCCCAGAAAACCACTGGAGTGCTTGGATGGGGAGACCTGTGGGAAAACACCAACTGGAATTGGGGTGTAATTGCTACATCCCTTTTCAAAGTCTTCTATTCATACGCGGGGCTTGACAATGCCAATTACGTCCTGAATGAGGTCAAAGACCCAGTTCGGACCTTGCGATCTGTGACGATGGCGGCATTGATTACCGCCTGCGGACTTTACGCACTTATCAATGTAGCATACTTTCTCGTTGTTCCCATCGATGAGATAAAGCAGAGCGGCGAGCTGATAGCGGCCCTATTCTTTGAACGGATCTTCGGTGAGAGAGTTGGCAAAAGGGTCCTTCCTCTGGCAGTTGCTTTGAGTGCAGGAGCGAATGTTCTCGTCGTCGCATTTTCTGCGGTAGGATCTCTCTGTGTTGCCAGCTTGTTGCGGATACTGTGCTTATACGATGACTCTAGGCGCGCACAAAACAAGAAATTGCCAGACAAGGCTTTCTTCCGTTTTCGGACATACTGTCATCTACAAAGCCCTTCAACTCACCTCTAGGCGGGCTCTTTGTTCACTACATTCCTTCATTTCTGGTCATTACGCTGCCTCCCTCTAGGGACGTTTATTCATTTATCCTGGAGGTTGAAGGCTATCCCGGTCAAATTCTAGCGTTGGCCATTGCAGTAGGGCTTTTGTGGCTTCGCATCAAACGCCCCGATATCAAACGCCCATTCAAGGCATTTGTTCCAGCTGTGATCTTACGAATCGGCCTGAGTATAGCATTACTTGCGGCCCCTTTTTTCCCGCCGGATACAAAGCCACCAAACGGATTGTTTTACGCCACTTATGCAATTATTGGTGTGAGCATGTAAGTGAGACTACTGACTAGACCGTGGATCTTTTGAGACTGATGCTGCTATCTACCAGTCTCACAGCCGGAGTAATGTATTGGTATGTCTGGACAGTCGCTTTGCCGCGTTGGGGAGGTTATAAGATTGAGGAAACAGAAGAGATTCTGAGTGATGGAACAACAATCACAAAACTCGTCCATATAGATACTTAGAAACCGATCGAGAACCACAGCTTCGTAAGTTGCCGAATTTTAGGCACATAAGCGTAATCTCATTTCCCTCGCGCACCCAAATTGTACTTCAACTAGGTGCCTTTTGATTCAGTGTCGATTCCAACGTTTGCTTGGAAATCGCTTTCGAAGGATTACTACCGCTTGTATCTCTCCCAAGCAATGGCTAAGAGTCTCTTTACAGCAGATGAGGCGCACTGGCAAGGATATGTGATTATCAATGCGGAAGATTACAACGATGACACCATTTTACTCCGCAACCATAACCTGGGCCGAGGCACGTTTGACCGAGCTTAATTAGGGCGATGCCCATGCGGATTTGAAATCACAACCGCATGGGTGTCATATCATCTCTTTCACTGTCAATCCTTGAACCAATTGGTGCTGGGGTATGGTCACACCACGTGATTCGGTTGAGTTTGATTATCAATCCACAAATTGCTCATGACTGGACAAATATCGCGTGCCAGAGGAGACCATGTGGATTTAGGGTAGAATAAAGGTCAGATGGCTGTTAGAAAATGATTTATAGTTGGAGCTTTGCTGCACCTTTTGAGCTGCCCGTATTGCTGGTATTGATGTACTCCTATGACTCCAGTACCACTACAAATCCCACTTGGAACCGAGCATGGCAGCAGTAGAGGTTCGGAAAGTTCTCTTTTCCGCAGGGCTGAGCTCTCCTCGACGCACTCAACGCCACGGAGCGAATGATCTGCGCGAGTCGAATCAGAGGCGCAAGGGAGTGGAAGCAACACTGAACTACCACAAAGACAACGAGGATGGATCACCTCCGCATCCTACATATGTTGACAGGCCAGAGACATATGACCGGCCATTTGAATCCCATTCTGTGACGATCAGCGACCTCACAGGCGATGAAGAGGAGTTTTCTCTCGACATAAATGGGTTTCAAATCCATCACAGCTGGTCGACTGAAAAGCAGTTTCAAGACGATGATCAGATCAGGTCGTCCTACTACGCCGAAGTTGAAGAACTTCTGAAAGCGGTGTAAGTATGGCATCCTTGAAAGACTTCACGGGACCAATCCTATCTTGCCTTCGTCTCAGCTAATAAGTTATATGTAGGACGGGGGCTAGTCGGGTTTTTATCTTTGACCATACTATTCGCCGGCAGCTACCTGGCACAGCAGCACAAGGACGACCAGCTCGCGGACCCGTGCAAAGAGTTCATATTGATCAATCTTACAAGGCCGCTCTTTCCCGGGTTCCTTACCACCTCCCAGATGATGCCGATAAGTTGCTCAAAGGTCGAGTACAAATCATCAACGTTTGGAGGCCCATCAAAACAGTTCAACGAGACCCACTCGCCATTGCGGACGCCAGGTCTGTCGCCGAGTCAGATCTAGTCGTAACCGAACTGATTTACCCTGATCGGCGAGGAGAGACATACGCAGTGAGACATAGCAACGCTCACAAGTGGTACTACAAAGATGGTCTCACACCGAACGAAGTATTTCTTATTAAGTGCTTCGACAGCAAGACAGACGGAAGAGCTAGAAGAGTCCCTCACACTGCTTTCGTTGATCCAACGGCAAGCTCGGATGCACCACCTAGAGAAAGCATAGAGGTTCGAGCTCTTGTTTTCCATCCGGAAGACCAAACATAGGCCATACATCTCAGAGTGTCTCTCGTATTCATTTGAGGTGCGAATGCAAGGCGATGGTGGATTTTTCTGTTTAAAGAAGCATCATGTCCGGAACGATGATCACGACGTGTGATAATGCCTGTCATTATTGTAGCAAAGAAGTAATATCACTTGCAATTGATCCCATTCCGTCAAATTAGTCTGCTAGTAGTATGTTCAGCAGTGAAGGGAACAGACTCAAATAATCATGTCTATTTTACTCTTCAGCATTTACTATGCGTTTAGACTTGATGTTTTGCACTGGCCCGCCATGGCCGCTAGGGTAGCTGAGTATACATATCAACGGACATTAGAGTTTCACGAGAGAGGTTCAGACAAAGACTTCAAATCTGGGAACAATGCACTTCAATTTGATATCTTGACCGCCTATCAACTATTCAATGCCGGCCGTTGGTCACGTACTCTGCAGCATCTCTGGGACTCGCCACGTCAGACTCAGCAAGGGTCTCGTCCAACTTCTTAGCCTTCTTCTTCTTTTTCTTGTCTTTCTTCGAGGTCGATGTCAGACTGTTTCCCAGGGCTGATTCCAGGGTCAATTCACCGCTCAGGTCCACTTCTGGCTCAGCTGTCTCCGACCAAGGAACAGGAACTGGCTTGGACGTGACCGTGGGTCCAATCCGAGGCGACGGTTGAGACTCGCTTGGATTGACGGAAATCGAGTAATCGCAGCAAATTTCGATCAAGCTCTTTACTAACAGCTTAGAGTATGTTGTTGCGTTGTTGAAACACCCTAAGAGACCGACTTTGTTCAACGAAGATGAGTCTTCGAATAGGTGACGGATACGCCGCTTAATGAATGCTGAGAACCATGTGTCATCTTCTCCGAGAGAGTGACAAGCATCTGAAGCTAGAGAAAGAACCTCCAGGGCAGGTAAAGTCTCAGCGGAGAGGGAAATGTGTTCTTTGGCAAGCTCGGCTAGCAGTGGAATCTTGTATGCCTGCGAAGCGGCATAAACATATAGACTGGTTCCAAGATAACTGGCATTCTTCGGTGTGTCGCTGGAATCTTTGGCCCGCAAGGTTTGCCATGATCCCGTATGGAGAAAGTGGATGAGTACATGGCCTGCATCATCTGGTATATGCTTCAATCGTATTTCGCCATGGCTTCGAAGACGTATGTTCTCAAGTTCTTGACAAAGAAGGTTGCTAGGAACCCGAAAGGGCTGGCCACTCTCGAAGTAGACATTGCATGTCGGACTTGCGTATGGCCTTTGAAGAGTCGTTAGCCAAAGACGCCAGATCCCAATGTAGGATATCGGAGTAAACTTACGACACTTCGGGACCTACTTCCTGTGTATGTCCCACAAAGGCCTCTAGGTTGTGATTGCCCGGCTGATCAAGCGGCGAGGCTGGGGACCATCCAGTTGTGTCCATGGCTAATGGAAATTCTACTGGATCGAGTGAGGGAGGTAGGAAGATAGAGTTCGAAGGCACGATGACACGACGGGCTTTTAATAATCTTGCTCCTGAGTTACGGCGTGATGATGACTACTCGCAAATATGACATCTTATATTTCCTCCTCGATAATTTTCCTTATTTTCTGTCGTTGGGCTCTAAATTTCGTCCCTAAGAAGGCTCAGGTCGAGCTTGAGCACACCTATCGATTCCGTTGTTGTGGGTGCCACGTTGAAGCGCAGCAAGCTCTCGCGACATTTTCACACCGAACTGCGCAGCGATTGGTTGCCCTGGAAAGCCATTCGTCAATCAGGTGCCGTGGGACATCATGAGCCCAATAATCGTACGTAGTTTATATGCATTGTATTTGTTGTTGGCGAATGCAGTCCGCATGCAGTAATCATGCATTCGTTCCCAATGGCGCGTATTACGGGGAATACCCCGCGTTATTCTCACTATACCTGCAGGCTATGTTGGCAGGAGATGCATGCTTTACACCCTCTCAGTAAACTGCGACCTATTGGAAGCCGCGAATTCACGAGGCCGGCTTCAAAAATTGATGCAAGTAACAGGCCGCTTAGACAATGTCACCCGCGGTACACCAGGAATTGGCGTTCAGGGCCTAGGCTCTACTGAGCCTGGAGGGATGTCGGATTCCGAGGCAAATAATTGCAAGGTCTTCGACAATCTTTGGGTATTCACATCATCTCTTCGAATTGAAGTTTGCCTAATTGAAAGTAACCCTTATTCAAACAGTACTTCGCTATCTCCCTAGTAAAAATGGTGGGGTTCAACTCGTTCTGAACGGACCTAGTCAGATATGCTCACATAGGTAGGTACATTTACACTAACATAAAAGCCGAAGAACCGTTTATCTCGTCTTCTCATCTCAAAATCTAGAGTGTGGGCTTCAGTATGGGAGTATGAACAGCTCAATGGCGGACAAACTGACAATTCGCTGAAGTCAAGAGCTAGTAGGAAGATCTATGCTAGGGAAGTATCTTTCGATAAGCCAGGCGCCCGGTACAACAGAGAGGCTCTGGGCAAAATGACTTGATCGTCAGAACCTGACTAGATGACCGCTTAGGTACCTGTTTGCATCCACAGATGTCCCGGATCGGAGTTGGTCTGATTGTTGTCCATAAGTCATCCGTTCTACAAACTTTTCATGTTTTGCCTTCGGCTGCAGAAGCTCAGCCGAATTAGGCTCCGTATCCCCCTTAATTTGCACCATCTTTGCTCGCCTCGCCTTGGCCCGCTTCACTGTTGAGGATACCATCCGAGCCAGTAAAATGTACGTGGCGTGCCACGGGTGTGCGCACGTAGCTGGACTGCCTGATCTTTGATTGTGTGTCAAATCAGGCAGATAGTTTTCCGGTGTTAAGCATCCCACTAAAAGCTTAGTTGCATTGAGGGGACTTTTCAATATCTCTGGTGTCTGACACTCAGCCAGTTCAATTACCCCAAGCATGTCAGGAAATACGCACCGGGCTTTGAACACCCCTTTCGTATCTCATTGCGCATGTTAATCACGATAAGTTCTGTCTATCGCCCAGACATACGTTCAGCTAGCGATCGTGTCCCCGCCTTTGTCCCCAGAACATTGAGGCCATTCCAGTCCAAACCACATGCAATACATCAGTCGACTACGAAGAGTGAGTGTCTCAGCTGACTTTCGCAAGTCGAGGTCAGTGATTGGCCGGAGATACAGAACTTCGTTAAAATCGTCAATAATGTTTGACGATAGCGACCCAGTCGTAGGATCTGAGAGTGATTCGTGAGATCCGCTATTATTGGCTCAATCTTAACGTATGCTATGTTCCACTCAATCACAATGTGAAGGAGGATTGAAGAGGCAGATTTCGGCTGCTTGCTCCTACAAAAATGGTATAATTGCCACCTTGAAGCGTCCAAGCTTGAGCCACAACGTCCCAAATGCTGAGGTCTCTTCGTGTAAGCTCAAATTGAACGGTAGTGCTGTCTCCTATCTCCAATGGCACCTTATCAAAGCCTCGAAGCTGTTTCGGGGGGCTGTTGGGGATTGCGACGTATAACTGCACAACTTCCTCGCCAGCATGACTGCCAGTGTTGTTGAATGATGCCTCAACATTCAGTATCACCTCCCACAAGGCATTGCTATTTGATGCGGCGCCTATCAAGACATTCTGCGTCTTGACCAGTAGGGAAGAGTAGGTGAATTCTGTGTATGTCAAGCCAAAGCCAAATTCAAATCTTGGCTCGATGCCTCTTTCGTCGAAGGCGCGATAGTCGACGAACACGCCTTCAGTGAAATCACACTGGGGACTGGTGGTGTTGACCTGCCTCCCACAAGGTGCGTACACTGAATAATCGCTTTCGTTTCGCGCCAAAGTATACGGGAGCTTCCCAGAGAATGAAGCCTCACCATACAAGAGCTTGACAAGGGCTGATCCACTGTCTTGACCCGGAAGATGGGCGATGACTGTAGCCGTAACATTTGGGTGATCGATCCACTGATCGACCAGGCGAATGCCGGCTGTATGAACGACCACAATTGTGTTGGCGCACTTATTAGCTACATTCAAGACGAGGCCATCACTGAAATCGTCGTGCAAGCCATCTCGATCCCATCCTTCGGTTGCCATGGCGTTGATGAAAACCAGGCAAACGTCACTAGCAGCATTGACATCGGGATCTCCAGACACCAGATCCCAATTGACCCAAGTGCCATCTATTGCGGCTTTATGTTGTAGCGAACTCAAAGGCTAGAGCCCCGTCAGCTCAAAAACACTCACCTAGGAGAGTATGGTGCTTACATCGAGTAGGTATGAAGGCGCATTGGCTGCAGCACGCCCCCCACTGACAATGGTTCCCCCCTTGGCTGCCTGGTCAAAATGCCTCTCTGTTCCCAGTACAGCCTGAGCCATCTCTGGGGAGGAGTAGTATCCAAGCTCAAAAAGTTTGTCGGTATTCTTCGTCGAAGGTACTGTTGCATCATATCCAAATATAGACATGATCTTCGGGGCCCCGCTGAAAGGTAGTGAATTATTTTCGTTCTTCACTAACACGTGGCCCGCAAGAGCTCCACTGAGTATTGTTGGCCTCGCCTTGGGATCACGGGCGTCGATTTGACCGTGCGGCTCAGTCAGATTTTTCATGCCAATGCCAGGAATTGGGAAGTCGTTGTCTTGACCAACAAGATACCAAGCTGCAAGAATTCTTGACGAACGTCAGCCACACGTAATCTTCAAGTTGTGGGAATGGCATGTTGGTAAGATACCTTGTGGCCATGTCGTCTACCCTTGATTCATTCACGATTCCGTTACTGACTGCCCTTGTGAGATTCGAGCCCCAATTCCCCCCAAGGGGCATGACCATATCTAGACCAGCATTGGCACTTTCTAGTGTATGCTTTGCGTTCCAGTCGAGAAGAACAAACCCTTCGAATTGCATTTCTGTCTTTAGAATCCCGTTCAATAGTTTACTGTTCTCACAACCGTATGTGTTGTTAATCCTGTTGTATGAGCACATAATGGATGCCGCTCCCGCTTTGACCCCATCGACAAATGGCCAAAGATAGAATTCGTGTAGAGTTTTATCATCAATATTAGATGATGCCGCCTCCACGCCAAAGTATGGCCTTCTGAAAGTCTCTTGCTCGTTTCCGATGAAATGCTGCCGGCACACATTAGTCCATCGTGAATTGTAGACATAGTATAGTGAGCAAGCCTCCTTGACAGCCAACCTTTAGATTAGCGATCACACCAGCTTCCTGATGCCCAATGATGGTCTCAGCATTTAGCTGTCCGGCCAAATATGGGTCGACCGAGAAGCCCTCCCAGTTCCGCCCGCCTAGTGGAGTACGACCCAGAGGACCGGCATTGGGCCCTAGCAGAACGTTGACTTGAAAACCAGTTAATGACGAAACTATCAGCAACATTGAACCTGGGGGACATACCTCCTTTACTTTTGAATTCTTTCCCCATGTAATAGCCGCGTTGGTAGGTCAAGTTTCTGTCCCAGCTTGCGCCTACATGTATGGCCGACGGGTACGAGTTGACTAGGTCTGTCGCTCGAATACCATTCCCAGCATCGTGGAGGCAAAAGCCTGGCCACCCAAGACGAGGAATGGATCCGGTGTTACCCGCACAAGTATTATCACCCGCATAGCCACGTGTGATGTTGACCTTCTCTTCAAGGGTCAGCTGGCTGACTAAATTGGATGCACGCTCATATGCGTTCTTCCATATGCCCTTTCCTTGACCCAGCGCTGTTCGGGACCATGTTAGCAGGCTGCCGTTGCTGGATTGGGAGTTACGTCGTAAACTCACGCGATGGGAAAATTGGTGGCGATTGAGCGATCGCCGCCACTCCTGTTCCAGGCGTGAAGGCGTACAGCAAAGTCGACAAAGTTGCAAAAAGCCACATTTTGGGAGCGAGGCATGTGCGATGCTAGACCGTCGAGCGTTTCTTTGGGAACTCCCTAATATTTCTACCTACCCAAGTGCCTCTAGGCTGATGCAATCACCCGATGTGCTGCCGCTACACCGCTATGGGACGAGCCTGCTAAACCTGACGATTAGCCGAGATCTCAAGTACTACCAAACAACTGCCTAGGATAGAAGCCAGGGTTATTGCTTTTTAATCCACTTTGCGAGGCCCAAGACACGCAAAGCCGGATGTGACCCCTGGAATGTGGAGTTAACTCCCCTTACCCCGCATGATAAGGCAATGGCTCATAGGTTGTCCCCTCGCAGGGAAGTATTTGCTTGCACCCAGATAGGTAGTCCTTCCTCGAGCCCAGGAGCCATTTTAAAACATCTAAAATAGGTTCCCCAACATAATTAAAAGCATAATTGGACTTCCTTCAATGGAAAAAGCATAAGCGCATTGAGGCCCTCTCGTTCACAACTAAGGTAGCTATCCCTAAAATAAATGTTTCTTAAACGCCTGTCATCGGCCTTGGCCCGCATGATCACAATGCTACGTATTACGCTGCAAACGCCAAAGTTCGTTTTAAAGCAGGCAGGCGATTTGGATGGCCGGACGACAATCATAATAAGCGATTACTATTGCGCAGCGCGCCAGCACTATTTTAATGAGCATTGCCAAATTACATAGTATCCTATTCGTTACGGCATATTGTCGGCACATAGAGACGTACCTTTTCTAAGGGGAAATAATAAGTTAGGTATTATTTTGTCTATCGCCTATATAATCTACTTAATTGGTGTCGTGATGGCTTCAACCATCCATGGCCTCACCGCACGTCACGTGACCTCGGTTACATAATCACCGAGGCCCACTTCACTTGCACCCTCTATATCAGAGCGAGCTTCGTGCCTATTTCCTATTTCCAATAGACAACCGTTCTCTTTTACTTACGTCGATGCCCCTATGGTGACTATACGACAATTGGAAAGTTTAGCTATCAGAGAAGACTAACCCCGATGTATCGATGGCATACCGCAACTGGTAGGATATATATAGGTAGTTTGCCGTAGCTATGAATAATCGACTTCATCTGTAGACGTCCACTTTCTTCTATTGTTATTACTTTTCCAACGTTGTCATTCTCGGAGCAGTCCACCATTCTTCTGCGGCCCATGCTGGCTGTCTTAGGATATATTTACGCTGTTTGGCAATGACGTTGCGTTGCTAATGCAATTATCTCCCCGGTATGATAGCTAGTAATCCGTCGACGGCGCAATTTCCCTCATCGTTTGAACAGTCTTTTCATACTGCTTAATTTTCTTCTCCAACATGTCTAGACAATCCGAGCCGAGAACTAGTCTGACTTCATCTTGCAATCCCTTCGCCATCCCCGTTAAAGACGCCAGCTCGAAGATCCTTTCAGCAGCTTTAACAGGATCACCAGGCTGTGACCCATCTGCGTCAGTAATATATGCCTTCATATCGATGTACCCGTCCTCCGTCATCCAGCTCCCCTCCTTCCTCGTCTCTAGGGCCGAAGTCACAAACCCCGTTCGGAAGTATCCCGGCTCGATAAGATGAACCCTAATCCCGAACTTCTTGACTTCCTGAGCGAGGCCCTCGCTCAGTCCCTCCAAGGCATGTTTGCTCGCTGTATAAACAGGCGATCCCTCAATATTGAAAATGCCCGAACAACTCGACATCTGCAAAATAGTACCGCTACAACGTTGGCGCATATGCGGCAGGATTGCCTTGGTGAGGTTGAGCACACCGAAGAAATTCACTTCGAATTGGCGTCGGATTTCCTGTTCGGTCAACGATTCGACCGCGCCGAAGAGGCCGTAGCCTGCATTGTTGACGAGAACGTCGATATGGCCGAAGCGGGAGATGAGGTCGTCGACGAATTTCGTTATGATGAACGCCGAGCTAGTGGCTTCGAGCTCGAAAAGATGAGCGTTCTGAGCATCTCGAAGGCTCTCGGGAAACTTGGCGAGAGATCGGGCTGTGGCAATGACGGTGTGTCCCTGGCGGAGCGCTTGTTGGGCTATGCAAAGCCCCAGGCCAGAGTTGGCGCCTGTGACGAGCCAGGTGAGCTTAGAGGAGTACATGTTCGACTGTTCGAGGGAGGACAGAACCCAGAAAGCGGCTAGGCGTGAATGTCAGATGAACATGTCATCCGGGACTACTATCACAGGCATCAGTGCCCTTGGAATGGCACGTATGCCAGTTTTTGTATTGCCAGAATTTGGAGAACACTCCACGCTCCCTGGACATAGTTAGTCGGGTCGTCCGTCTACGAGCGTATTGCCCGCTCCATTGCGGATGAAAGTTGTACATATGACGTAAAGCTCGCTACATTGCCCCATAGTTCTCTATTTATCTAGGTGTCCGTGCTTATCGCAGACTGAACGCTATATCTTAACCCCGCAGTTTTGCGGGATTGCTTTTCTAACATCATCCTACCTACCACACTTCACAACTTTGGAACCTGGCGCCGCTGACGAAGACAAATCCCAAAATGCTTTCGTCGCCAGGAGAGCGGGGGTTTCAAGGCGCCAAAGCTCGGCGAGGCGGCAGAGTCGCTTCGGCTTGTCTGCAATGCCGGAAGCTCAAGCGGAAATGCGACCGACAATGGCCTTGTAATCACTGTCTCGCAAGGCGGGTAGCACACCAGTGCCAGTTTGACAATCTTGAAAAGGGGGTCTCGGCATCCTCAAAAAGGTGAGTAATTGTTTCTGATGTGTTGTTAGTGTGCCGTGCTGAGATGATCTCGAATCGGTAGGCCGCTTACGGGCAATGGAGAACCAGGATCGCAGAGTGGTTCCCCAAACTCTGGAGTGCCCAGATGTCACATATCGAAGCCAGCATGCATTGAATCAAATGATCCTGACAACACTGGCAACATCGAGATTCCAGCTGCCTTGAAAGCTCTGGGCTATACGGACAGCAATCTTTTTGCAAGCATCATTCCGAGTAGCCACTCCCCCAGTCCCGTCATCTCGAAGGACTTTCCGCTAGAGATACAGGAAGCGCTCCGAGCTGTGCCTCCCCGACCATACACAGATATCCTCATATCAGTTTACTTCAGCCACGTTAACTACCACTACGAAGCCATCCACCAAACCACCTTCGTCGCAGATTATGCAACATGGTGGGGGAGACGAGCGTCGAAAGCCATGTCTGACGTAGCGCTTACCAGTCTAGTACTGCAAATGTGTGCTCTGGGCACGCAATTCGTTTGGCCTTCCACGGATCAGAAACTGGAATCCGAACTGGGAGAGTCGGTCGACCACCTTGGGATGCGTATGCATGAGGCTGCGCAACGCTTAAGCACTTTCATACCACCCGGTGAGGGTGGATTGCCGCTCATACAGCGATTATTTCTTGCTGGCGGGTGGTTGAAGAATCGGGTCGAGGTTACCAGATCGTGGCATTTGATATGTTCAGCCGTCCGGGAAGCACAGGAGATCGGTCTACATATCGACAGCGCGGCGCAGGAAATCTCGACGTGTGAACGAGAAGTGAGACGGAGGATGTGGTACATATTAAACATCTGGGACACGTAAGTACTCTGCTGTCATATTTCGATGACCCCAAGACCATTCTCACCACAACTGTAACCTGCTCAGGACTTTCTCCGGCTCGTTCGGCAGACCACGCATCATACAAGAATTCGGCCAAGTCCCCCCACCAAACCCCCGTTTCGAACTTGCAGACAGCGTAAGCGAGGAGACATCTGCGGCAGCAATCATCATTCGCGAGTATCGACTCTGGGCATTTCTGTCTGACCCTTTGAGCGATGCGAACAGCCCGCATGCCAAGATTCAATTCGTCAATGATTGGATCCGTGGCCTGCCAACTGTATACAGCACCATCGGGAGCGATGCGATCGGCGACGGCGATCTCTTTGCGAACAAGTTTCGCAGGATCAAGTTACATTGTATGGGATACATGGCTCTGTTGGCATACTTACGACGATATTTATTGAGCCCTCCTCATCCGAATTGCAGAGACACCGAGGCAAGTAGTCTCCGCGAAGCGGCGATTCAAGTGGCGATCCATCTCATGCGCATCAGCAAAGAGTTCTTTACCCTCTGCCACCCAATCCACTCCCAGTACTTCTTAGTGCAATTCTGTCCGTTCGACACCGCATCGACTTTATGCTCCGCTCTTCTTCGTGATACGAGCCGAACATGGATTCCGCACAGACTGAGAGCGATTCAGGCGCTTGGATGTGCGCTATATATATTGGAGAAGTTGAAGAACTTGAATAGGATGGGGAGCGCGACGTGGACTATTCTCACAACCATGCTGGCACAAGTAGACTTGTCGGCGGACGAGCAGCAAATGATGAATCAATCGAGCCGAACTGGAGATCTTGGTGGTTTTGACGCGACTTTCCCGGCAGGCGAGGAAACCACGGAGGCGAATCTTTTAGAGTCGTTCTCCCCTTTGGAGTCCATCGAGCAGCTACTTGTCGGAGATAACTTTGAGATGGAAGCGACAGCTCAGGATGCAGCGGATTTAGACTTGGGGCTGGTTGGTATTGGTTATAATGGGTCAGGCATCATGGCCCTAGAGGAGCAGATAAACAGTAATATTTTCAATACTACCTGGAGCTGGGATAATATTGATTAAGCTTCTAAGAATTAGCCTAGGATAGGGTTATTCCTTTAAAAAGTATTGCTTTATATATAAATCTTGTATAAATAGCTATACGGTAGATCGTATTAGTATTATTTAGCATAATTTAGAGTTTTTCAATAGCGATTAACTCAATAATGCCGAATAATTCTTTAATTTAATAAATGTTAAAAATCTTCCCTTTTGCCCCCAAACCAAGTCCTTTTTTCTCTAGCGTGTTCCCTTGATTTGTATAGTAAAAGGCGTAATGGGTTTTGCGAAATTTCATACATAACATCTTTTATAGTGCTGGTATGGAGCCGTGGCTTATATAGCTTAGCAACTTACCTCCGTAGCCGGCAAGTACTCAGAGCCCAGGCGTTAACAGAGCCAGAATCCGAGAAGGCCAGAAATGGACAATAGTAAGGGAAGGGCAGGAAGTAGAACAACAGTAAGAGGACAGGGCCAGAAACGGCTTACCATTCAGCTACCAAGGACCCATCCAGCCAGTCTGACGTATATCGATGGATTAACAGTTAAATACGTTCGCCTATCAGATACGACTTACAGCGGGGCAACGAATGCTGCTGGGCGCATTCAACTGAAGCGCGTGGCGACAGCTCTGTAGCTGTAAAACAGCACCAAATTCATACTGGTGGCAGGCTGAACGCTGGCGTCGAGCTGAACACTGGTGGCGGGCTGAACGCTGGTGGCGGTGGGAATGCTGGCATCGAGCTGAACACTGGTGGCGGGCTGAACGCTGGTGGCGTGTTATTGACCCTAAATTCTCATATCAGGATGGGCTGGGTGGTGTTGGCTGAAACCCATGCCTGGAGTGAAACATTTTACTGACAAATGTATTACAGTACTTGATTGTCAGGGTAAAGGTTTTAGTACAAGAGTATCAGGTACTTTAGGCATCGGTATCGGATGAGGAGAACCCTTTCACACTGGGGAGGACGCATGATCACGCCCTTAGTTGGAAATATCTGGAAAAATAGAAAGATGCATCGTAATTGTTGCGGGACTGTGCCCGCCTGAGAACAAGATTATCTCCTATGATCACATAGCCTCTATATTTCCAACTCAAATTCCTTGTCTTGAAGACTTGGACTTCGGGGAGGTAGGCAGGAGTGATCGAACATCTTCATTCATGGCAGGTTTCTACCTAGACATGGAGGGCAAGTATCTCTTGATGTAAAATATTCACAGTGTGATGTCACCCCCTTCACGTTTTGATGCGTTGTCCTTACAACCATAGCCTCTCATCGAAATATTCTTGCATTGCGTGTTTAGTGACGGGTATGAATGCGATGGTCTCACCACATTGAACGAATGCAGAAATTTCAACCAAAAGTCGCAGAAGCTTGCATTGTGTTGGTTGATCTTCTGATATCCACGTTAATGGACCCGTTTCGCGAGAGGCTCTTCGAGAGGATGGAACGATTACCAACCAGATCTCCCTACTCACCTATGCGGGAGTCGAGGTTTAAAATAAAGTCCTGGAAGTCGTAGTAAGGAATATTGGTTAATTTACACTGATCAGTGAATTATATAGTTGTTTGCAACGTGTATTATGCGACGTCGAGCATTTTCAACTCGTAAACCATGGAGTGTGATGGTGTATCTTATGTACACTGGTCTTGGACTGGCCAATTTACGTTTCACATTCGTATCTAAGAGATTAGATACCATAGCAATCTTTCGAGAAAGACCCCTGTGTGCAAGTCCCACCTGACAAGGACTTCTTTCCGCACCGCAATGCTGCTTGGCTAACTCAAACTTGACGAATGTTGGTGGGAGAACTACCCAATGTCTGAGGTAACTCGATGTTCCATTCTTTATTTTCGCAGTCTGCCCGTACTCTGTATGTACTATTCGAAGAATGTTGTGAGTCTGTGGAAGACATGCGAGGAGTGGTTCGTATGGATCGCAAGCTGCCGTTGGTAGATTCGTCTTCATCGTCATCCATGAGGTGGTCAGATCATAGGATTTGACTGGCAAGCTTTCCAGTTTGTAGGCTAGGAATCTTTGAAGCTCGACAGATTTGTAAAACTCAGACTCCAGGCGTGATGTAGGAGAGGTTTTTCGTTCTGGGCCCGTTGTTAATGAATCCGGCTGCACGAAGGTGGACGTACTCTCTGGGCCGATGCGCCATATGCAAAGACTTTGAGCACATCAGCGAGGAACTGGAAGACGAGAAAGAGGGAAACCAGAAGGCGATACGGTAAGTCATACTACGTTTTGTTCTAGATGAATTCCGAACTGCGACGATGTACTTCGCCGCCATCCACAAACTTCTCAACCTTTGGAAACCATAGCTCCAAATCTGCCTCATCTAGCTGTAATACGTAGCCCTGGATGCAGATTGATGCACTATCACATCGCAAGGGGGTTGGTGAGATCCGACAGACCAAGGCCAGAGTCCCCCATGATTCAATGGCACTCAAGAAAAAGCCATAGTACCAGAGAGAAAAGACATTTGGGTTACTAGCACTGCAAGCCATACAATCAAAAACCGTGGCAAAGACGTATTTCAGCTCAATCTCCAAGCCTCCTGGTTGAATGACGAATCTCAATACCTGCAATTTGTGGCCTCAAGGCTATGGCCATTTGCCAACAGCCCTTCAATACGACTTTCTATTGCAACTTTTTACTCTGAATCAGTAGTGATTGGTGATACTTCGCTGATCTTATTGATGTCTTGTTCAAAGGCAGGGGGTTATGATTGTGTAGCTAGTGATGTACCGGCTCTGTCTCAACCGCATCAGCTTGGAGGTAATATCCATCGACCCCTCCCTTCTGCCTCGTGTGCATACCAACCAGGCATTCACAGTGTCACATCAACCAATGATCCATTTTCATCAACATCAGGATGACATTCTACGTGTTATAATTTCATCTGCAAGCATGTCTCTCTGTCTCAAGTCAGTCAAATCTTGCATGCCTTCCAAAAGTTTATGAGGCAGAGACATTATGTCAGGGGAGAATCAGGAGTGGCGTTAGTTCGGTAAGAATAGAAGTGTTGAATGCTACATACATGAATCCTGAATGTACCATGGGCAAGAGCAAGACACTTATTTCCCCGAATGCGTCGCTAGCCTCCCGCTTCCTGTCACATGTGACAAGACATTCCCGTGGGAACCCAAAGAGGTACATAAAAGCGACTATCTGCAAGCATAGACACCATAAGCCATGTAACATATGCATGAACAGAAGCGACAAAGTTCGAAGGCAGAAATTTCCTTCGTCAGTACGCTAAAGTGTAGCGACAGTCGCAGCCGTGCGCATCGTTTCCTCATCATTATAATTAATTTCGACCTCTCCTTACTTCACGGTCGTTCACTCTGGGCTATCAAAGTTTCATATTGGGAAAAAGAAGGTAGACATGGCTCACCACCTGCTCTCCCGTGCCGCTATATGGACTTTGCAGTCCTCGACGCCTGAACTTCCGGCAGATTCGGCCATCCTACCCGACGATGGTACCATCGGTATGGAATCGGTGTTTGGCAAGGACAAGCGTCGCCTCGTCGAACCCCAAGACTTTGCTGATGGCGGCAAGTTTCGCTGTAAGTTGTACAGCAGCACCATGACAACGTTGAATAATGCTGAGCTTTTCAGCAATCGTCAAGATTCAAGCTCGATTCAATAGTGGCAATGATCAAACCATCTGGATGATGGGCACAGGTTGGCTGGTCAGCCCAGACACCGTCGTAACCGCAGGACACGTTGTTTACGACTGGAGGAATCGCTGGCAGGCAGCTATCGAGGTCAAATGCTTCATCGGCTACTCTGGCCTTTCTTCTGTTGGCACATCGAAAGTACAAGGCAGGTTTGGAGAACACGTGGTGACCACAGCGCACTGGGTCAATGGCAACAACAAACGCGCACATGATGTCGCCTTCTTGAAGTTGAACCGCCCCTTTACAGGAAATCTTAGAACAATCCCTTTCCAAAACACCCCTACTAACGGCATCGGATTACGGCTCGGTGTCGTCGGTTATCCTGGCGATAAGCATTCTCAACATCCCAGCGGAGATGATGACGAGGAGGGTGCGCAGATGTACGAAGAATTCACTCGCGTCAACTACAGCATCCAAGACAGTGAGCGCAAAATGATCGAATATCATATCTCTACATTTTCTGGTGAGCAGGGTCACCCTTAGTCCTACTTAACTTTGATACGACACTGACAATTAGCAACAGGTCAGTCTGGAGCACCAATCCTTCAAGCTACCAATGATGGAGGATTCGTTTCTATTGGGACTCATTGCTATGGCGGCGGCCATGCCCAGAAGAACTCAGGTACTTCGATCGGTGGCGATTATGGTATCAACTACGTTGCTTTCATCTCCCTCTTTGACAGCGGCCACTTTCCATATCCACACCGATTTGGCATCAAGTTCGTCAACGTCAATCCTGCTGCACGGACTCGCAAATTGCAAGTCCACAGTGTCAGGCGCGGCGCTATTGACGCCATCCATAATTGCCATGGAATCGGCTTTGGTACTAGTGACGGTGCTAAGAAGAACGGCAGAAACGTCAGCGAGCCCAACGTTGATAAGAGCCGGATCAAGCTCCACATCCGCGAAAACGAGTACGATCAACATTTCAATCATTGCAATAGCGGCGTAGCGGGATACAAAGATGACCACAGAGAAGACACGTGCACCATGGACGACGCAAATTGCCACAACGGCGGATGCAATGACCAGGGTTATGGCGAAAGTCACGGAAGAAACGATGATCATAGGTCCAGGCGCAACGACGTTATCCGTACAATCAGGTTGAGAGACCAGATGAGCAATGACAAGGCTAGGGACTTCAGAAAGATAGCAGGCATCAACAACAGCTACGGCGGCGACTTTGACAACTACTATCGTAACTCTGGCAACAGCTACGGCGGCAGCTTCAACGACTATCACGGTAACCCTGGCAGCAGCCACGGTGGCAACTTCAATACACCCCACGGTAACCCTGGTAGGAACCACGACAGCAATTTCAATACATACCACGATAGCCTTGGCATTAATTACGGCGGCAACTTCAATGCCTACCATGGTAACTCTGGCAGTAATTACGGCGGCAACTTCATTGCCTACCACAGCAACCCTGGCAGTAACTATAGAGACAACCTCAATAACTACAACGGTAGGCCTGGCAGCTACTACATTAACAACTTGAGCGGCTACTATCTTGGCAATCGCACCAATGAAGTTAACCTCTTTTCCACAAGGAACGCCCTTCCTTTATGCTCAGGTACCGAATTGCCAGATTCGCGACTAACGAACAGCGAGTTCTTGCGACATAATCCTGGTGGGTTTCTGAGTATGTCCCAAAGTATGTTCCGTTCTGACAAGACCAAACCATCAGGCATGGACCATAATTCTCTATCCAGTGGATTGGAAACCAACGGACCGCTGCAACGTGACGGCGAAGGAGTTTGTGATGTTCTGAGGCTTTTCTCTGATTCTGCTGAAAGACCGCTTTGGGACGGCCCTCCTTTGCTTGGTCCGCTGGGCGGCGTTGTGGGAATTGTTGCTGGCAGCATTCTTTCAGCCGTTGGGGGAGTCGAATTCTGCAGCATGGTCGACGGCCCGTTCCAGGCTGTTGAGAGCGCTATCAATGCGGGCGCCATCGAACGTGCGGTTCTAGCGGAGGCAGCGCTTCAAGCTCTGTTGAAACTCGAATATTCTACCGAAGTCGCTGATATATTTGATATTATCGACATCAAGTATCGAGCGTTGAGTCCGCAGCTGAGCTCTCTTGCCAAGGTTGCCCATCCCTACCTAACGGAATATGGACTGAACCTAGCACATCGTCAGCTCAGTCGTGTTCAAAATTGTGAAGGAGCATCCATTCATGAGTCTTTCGATCAGATTCCTCGTGAAAGTCTGGGGATCATCACAATGTTGAATTCGCGCCCGAGTCCCAATTGCCATCCTGACTTTATTGGTGGACTGCTCTCACCAACTCGGTTTCTGGTCAGCGAAGAAGACTTTTTAGGAAGCTTCAGGCAACTCATCATTAAAGGTATCGATTTTGACGGTTCATTCCTTCAATGCAGAGCCCAGAAAGCAATCGATGAAGTGGCCACACTATTGGTTCGTGAAGGCACTGATCAAGTCCACCCTTATCATTATTCGCCCGTCGCTAGCGGTCAGGAACACACTACTTGCCTGGTTTTCAAGCGAGCTGTTGTGGCTGAGGCTGTCTTACAGACGATGATGGAGCTTTCCAAGTCAAAACTTGACTCGCTCAAGGTTCTTGTGCAGGAGAACAACGAACGGGATATGGATGTCTTGGACGTCATTCAGTACAGTATTCACAGAATTGCTCCACCTACGATGCAATTCGCCAAAAAGACCGTTCGGACAGTGGTTTCTGTCGTATTCAATGCGGCTTGGAAAGATCAAAACGCTCTGAGGTTGAAAAAGGCTAGAAGTTGCCTGGAAAACAGCCTCAATCATCCGAATACGAATGATCAGTCCGCTGATGATGGAGACCCCTTCGGCAGCAGCCGCCTCAGCTTTATTAAGCAGCAAGTCCTTAGTGACCAGAGCATCACTGGCAACAAGCCCACCCGCAGAAGGCAGTCTATGAGCAGTAGCCGGCCAACTCGCAGCAATCAGTCTACCACCAATGACCAGATCCACACTAGCACACAGCCGACCAACCACAGCCAGCCAGTCGGCACCAACCAGCTCTTTCGAAGAAAACGATCTATGAGTAGTAGCCAGCCAACTCGTAACAGCTGGTCTACTACCAATAACCAGCTCCTGCCCAGCACTCCACCCTCAACCAGCGTTCAGCCCGACGCCAGCATTCCCACCGCCACCAGTGTTCAGCCTGCCACCAGTATAGAGCAATCACCCATGGAAGAAAGGGATATGCTTGCTGATTTCGGCACTTCCGCTCGCGTGAACACACTCCGTCCAAAGAAATCTATTGGTGAGATTCTCTCATCGTCTCCCAAGGGTCATGCTGCTGCGAAGGTGAGCACCAACATCATCAACTGTTGTGACATCGACCCTGATGCTCCTGGCTCTGCCCTTGGAGATGTTGAAGACCGGAAGAAGTCGGGCGAGAGCGAAAGAATTCGCCAACGAAAGTCCTTTGACTCTAACGTCGACTTCAGCTTTGATCTGGCTTCAATGGAGGATGAATCATTTTGACAAACGTATGAAGATAGGTAGTCGTGCTAATATCTCGTGGACCCACCGCAGGTCACATCTACACGCTAAGGGAATGAGATATCAGGAGGTGATTGCTGAAGACGTCCCAAAGGATGAAGATATCGATGGTAATTGGGATGCCTGTTTTCAATGGATTTCCCATTCGAGGTCTTGGAATATCTATAAGCAGGCTAATATGTAGTTCCTTGAGAAATTTTATGTAGTTCTTTCGAGATGTCAATTCATGAATTTATCTATCGTTTTAGCCGTATTTAGTCCGCTTGTAATAGCTATGGATGTAAGACGATAGTGTCACGGCGTGCTTGGTATTAGCGGGCTTTGTAATAAGCTAAATTTATAAAATTCTTTTAATTATTAAATATTAAAAAAGTATCATTCTTCCTAATGTTTCCAGACTCAAACCAGGATCCGGTGTCTTGCTTTTCTAGCCAACCACAAACAGCAGCTTTATGAGCGACGGTAAGTTCTACCAGTGCGCTCTGTTTTTTCATCCAAAAAGAAATAATGAATGGCCAATGGCCGCCTTATCATAGCAGACCTTCCATCATCATCCACATCTGCCTTGAATTCTATACAATAGTGGATGCTCACCAACGTTAGGAGTTGTGGACTTCTTCTCTCGGAACATTCTTATCTTCCTGATCGCTTCACCGAAAAGCCACTGTCTTGCGTATCTTCTCATTGTGCCCAATAGGCGGCAGCTGTCTTGGACGAGCTGCAGCACGGAGGCGGTCTCATCCCGCGTCGATCAATCTCCCTGAGTGAGAGGTCGCCGACAGCCGTGAACAAATGCGACATCTTCATTGGATTCGAGAATAATTGTTGCCACCTCCTCTCTGTTAGGAGATCACGAGTACCTCGGCAAATTTTCCACTTTCTATTCTAAGCCGCTCTTCAGTATTTTCATCTCTGCCACCCTTTCGGAGCATCCGCAGCTGCCTCGTTCTCGAACCCAATATGGACGCGTCTGTCAGGTGATGTTGACAACCTGGCTGAGAAGACCGGGGCTTAGGCTACGTTGCTGGTTTCAGGCCGTTACTCAGACGCCACGGTGAGTGTCGACTGCAGGTTGGACATACGAAGGCACTGATAACCTTGTTGCCATCAAATCATCACAGAAATGTCGATCTTCAATCAAAGCAGCACCCGTGAAATGTGCAGTTTCTGTTCGAATGCCGTCTGCCAATCGATTGCATCTCGCGAGCAAGTGCGATCGGTCTCAGCTGCTCACACTCGGGCAGTGTTTCATACCTATATGTTCATCCAACACCATCGTGGCTAGACGGTGAACATTCTGGTGAATAATCAGCCGGCTGTGCAAGTTTGGTTCGCCATGAAGCTCGCTATTTCTTGAGAAACATACGCCACTCTGCAGCGCGTCCATTTACCGCGTCATCCTGAGGCGTTCTTCTGGGACACTGCCAAGGCATACTTCGAAGGCGCCCGGTGTATGTATGGCATCGATAAAAGATCCTATTTCTACATAACTACGTTGAGTTTGCAGCAGAATCGTATGAATGTTCTTCCACACGATAAAGTTCTTCTTCTGTTCTAACTATCATGGCATCACCCGAGGACGCTCTGCGGGTCAAGCCCCCCGCAAACCTGAACGATGCGTATGATGGCATGGAGCTCAACTCAATTGACACATCTACTCAGCGGGGCACATTCATTTCCAAAAATCAAAGCACTGAGTCTCTCCTGGGTCAACCTCAACCAGGACCTACCGAATTCGTCCACCCGGGAAACGCATCGCCTTGCCCAAAGCCACGACCGCAGTCCCGGTCGTTTATGCCTTTGCTCTTAGTTGCAGGCTACGCAGCACTGTCGATTTTTGCCTGGACAACGACCTGCATCATGACATTCCGGCCACTGTGGGCGCAAATACCCTCTAATAAATACGTCAAAACGAGATACCCGAAAAGATACGTCGTTGATTACAATCATACAGACTCTGTGGGATTCACTGCCGATGTTGAGGATAGCATCAACAAGAATAGCGATTGGTATCAAGGCATCCAAGTTCTACAGTCGGTTCTCACCGTCTTGACCCTGCCTTTGACCACAACAGTTCTATCTGCGGCGGCTATTATCTACGTTCAATGACGCTCGCAAAAGCTCAAGTTACGTCAGGTCATCGCGCTTGCCGACCAAGGCTGGTCCGACGCTGTCGCTGTCCTGAAAGCGCCATGGGATAAGTGCAACACGGTCTTCCTCATCCTAGCAGTTGTTGTCTATGTTATTGGCGGCGTACTAGCTCCTTTGCAAGAATACCTGCTATCAGCAGAGGCGACCAAAGTCAGCTACTCGATCGACAGGGATGTTCTCGTGACCGACATACCAGGTCAATTCCGTCTAAAACAAAAGGAAAATAATGTACTCGCCTTGATCACTCGGGGAATGCTGGAAACTGTCTCCAGCAGCCAGCCCCAGGCAATGTTGTGGCAAGGTGACGGCTTCAACTACACATGCTCTGATGCGAGTGAGAGCGAAAAGATGGGTGGAGGCCGTACCTCAACAAAGTCATGCCGCACAGCACCAACACTGGGGGATATTCCAGGCCTACTTGACCCATTTCTAGCACAGTTTCCCGCCGGGTATTCTACGGGACTCATCCGTCAGTTCATTCCCCGCATTAGCTCGGTGGTCAACGTATTGATCATGCCCACTGAAAGCTTCCCAACATCCTGCAACAGCTCACAAGGGTCTTTTTGGGCTAGCTATGACGGCGAAGGGAGTGTGGAGAACAGTTATCCAATCTCTGTCCAAATATGTATGCCCGGAAACTTGACAACTTCACCTTGGAAACCCACGAGAGATATGCAGAGGTTCACGGAAGATTTGTACCTCAACGTCACATTGGAACCCGCGGATGGACCACTACATTCTGTGATCAAGATTGAAATGGAGACTTCGGCCGGATACTTCGAATTGCCGAATAACTGGAATATCAAGGCAGGCAAATTACTTGAAAAGGATCCATACGGTCCTGGCGGCGCTTGCCAAGCAGGCTGTTACAATTCGGTTAACATCAGCTCCAGTGATAAGCCCCATGTCGAAGAGTCTGACACCTACAGGCAAGTTACCCCGATTGCTACTTTCAAGGCCTCCAAGTGCTGATCGTTCATGGAATAGGGGTGATACAATTGGTTAAAATTTGGATGTTTGGGATCCAAAGCAATTGGCGGGAGTCACGAACAAGGGGCCACTACTGACCATTGCACTGGCGTTATTCGGTGAAGGATCATTCATCGAAACCAAACTGTTGAAGACCGTCACATATGACGATGTGGGGTCCGATACTCTTTGGCCTGGTGACTGCCTATACCTGAATCCACTCGAGCTTCTTTCAAGCGACTACATGGACTATCCAGACGACAACTATGATAGCGCATACAGAGAAGGTGTCTGCGTCACGAGGAACTTGATAAAGAAGAAGTCCAAGGTTCAATCGGCCGCTTCAGATTGGCTGGCAAGTACTTTCGCGAATAGCCGATCGCAACTCAGCGACACTACCTTACTTAAGTCGAAATTCACTTCTGCGGCTTTCCTCGCTAACTAGGCATGGCTACTCTACTAGAGGGAGAGAAAGACCTTGCGTGTTCGTCGCGATATTAGTAGAAACACTATAATCCCGTCTATATTACGAGCTAGGATAATTGCAATTAGTTTTTTAATGGCTGCGCATTTACTAGCCCTGTTAGCCTTTATAGCTTATATTATAATAAAATTAGACCTTCTTAATATTAAGCTAGACGCGGAGGGAATTATATATATCGGATTATTAATTAAGTACCAAAGGGTTAAGCTTAAAAAGAAAATTTAAAATTTATAAATCTTAAATACCTACTACCTTAGCTAGCTTTTTACTTACTAATAATAAGTAAAAAGATTTTAATCCTAAATACTTATATTAACTACCTAAGCTAACCTTTTATTTGTTATTAATAAGTTAAAAAATAATTTAGGATTTATAAACCTTAACTACTTATTATTTCTACTAACTTTTTATATATTAAGTAGGCTAAATAGGCTTAGGTTTAGGAAATTTTAAGAATTTCGCATACTTTTTACTTAAAAAAAGGTATATCTTAAAAAAGCGAGAAATTAATAAAAGTATTATTATATTATAACTACTTAGTTATTACTTTTTAATATATATAAATAAATCATTTTTTTTTACTTATAAAATATAATATTACTTAACTACTATAGCTACTAAATATTACTTTACTACCGTAGCTATTTAATATTACTTTACTACCGTAGCTACTTAATATTACTTTATTACTATAGCCGCTTAATATTAATAAAAAAAAGTTTTTAAATAATTTAATATAAATAAAAATAAGTAAATAAGTTTACGGAATTCTTTAAGCTAATAAGTAATAACTAAAAAAAATTAAATAAAACTTAATAAATTTTTTTATTTAAAAAGTAATACCTAAAAGATCTTTTATTTAATAAGTAATAACTAAAACAATTAATTAAAATTTTAAAATTTTTTTATTTATTATATAGTAAACGAAAGAATCGAGTATTTATAAATTCTTTTATTTACTAAGTCGTAAATAAAAAAATTGAGTACTTATAAATTCTTTTATTCGTTACATAATAAACGAAAAAGTCTAGTACTTATAAATTCTTTTATATACTAGGTTACGAATAAAAGAATTAATTAAAATCTTAAAATCCTTTTATTTATTAAGTCGTTAATAAAAGAATTAAGTACTTATAAATTCTTTTATTCGCTAGGTTATAAATAAAAGAATTAAGTACTTATAAATTCTTTTATTCGTTATATAGTAAACAAAAGAATTTAGTACTTATAAATTCTTTTATATACTAGGTTATAAACGAAAGAATTAACTTAAATCTCGAAATTCTTTTGTTCGCTAGGTTATTAATAAAAGAATTAAGTACTTATAAATTCTTTTATTTACTAGGTCGCTAATAAAAGAATTAACTAAAATCTTAAAATTCTTTTATTTACTAGGTCGTGAATAAAAGAATTAAGTACTTATAAATTCTTTTATTCGCTAGGTTATGAATAAAAGAATTAACTAAAATCTTAAAATTCTTTTATTCGCTAGGTTATAAACAAAAGAATTAATTAAAATCTCGAAATTCTTTTGTTTATTAAGTCGTAAATAAAAGAATTGAGTACTTATAAATTCTTTTATTTACTAAGTTACTAATAAAAGAATTAACTAAAATCTTAAAATTCTTTTATTTACTAGGTCGCTAACGAAAGAATTAAATACTTATAAATTCTTTTATTTACTAGGTCGTAAATAAAAGAATTAAGTACTTATAAATTCTTTTATTCGCTATATAATAAATAAAAGAATCTAATACTTATAAATTTTTTTATACGCTATGTAGTAAACGAAAGAATTAAGTACTTATAAATTCTTTTATACGTTATATAATAAACGAAAGAATCGAGTACTTATAAATTCTTTTATTTACTATATAATAAACAAAAGAATCTAATATTTATAAATTCTTTTATACGCTATATAATAAATAAAAGAATTAAGTACTTATAAATTCTTTTATATACTATATAGTAAACGAAAGAATTAAGTACTTATAAATTCTTTTATTTACTAAGTTATAAACAAAAAAATTAACTAAAATTTTAAAATTCTTTTATTTATTAAGTTGTAAATAAAAGAATTAAGTACTTATAAATTTTTTTATTTACTAAGTTACTAACGAAAAAATTAATTAAAATCTCGAAATTCTTTTATTTACTAAGTTATTAATAAAAACATCGAGTACCTATAAATTCTTTTATTCGCTAGGTCGTAAATAAAAAAATCGAGTACTTATAAATTCTTTTATTCGCTATATAATAAATAAAAAGATTTAGTACTTACAAATTCTTTTATATACTAAGTTATAAATAAAAGAATTAACTAAAATCTCGAAATTCTTTTATTTACTAAGTCGCTAATAAAAGAATCGAGTACTTATAAATTTTTTTATATACTAAGTTACGAATAAAAGAATTAATTAAAATCTTAAGTTAATTAAAATTTTAAAATTCTTTTATACGCTATGTAATAAATAAAAAAATCTAGTACCTTAGCCTAATGCGCGGCGTAGCCGAAGGTTACGGAGTAGCCGAAATTAATTAGCGAGCGGCTAGGGGTAGGAGCGGGGGTAGCGGTAGCCCGAGCTTAGAGGCGCCGTAGCTAAAAGTTTATAATAAGCTTATAACCAAAACTCTAACTATATAGCAGAAGGTTATAGGGCGTTATAATAAAAAGTTATATAGTTAAGCACTATAACTAAAAGTTCTTAGTTAGTTATATAGCTAAAAGTTATAGGGCGTTATAATAAAAAGTTGAGCGAGGGTTAAGTATTATAGCTAAAGGTTTTTAGTTATGTAACCGAAAGTATAATAAGCCTATAGCTAAAGCCCGTAAGTATTATAACTAAAAATAAAAAGTTTAATACTATAACCGTAGCTAAATACTTTAAGTATATAGCTAAAAATATAATAGGCCTATAACTAAAGCTCGTAAGTATTATAGCTAAAAGTAAAAAGTTAAGTACTATAACTATAACTAAAGGTTTTTAACTCTAGCTATATAGCGCGCTATAGCTATAATTATATAGCGTACTATAATTAAAAGTTCTTAATTAGCTATATAACTAAAGGTTATAGGGCGTTATAATAAAAGATTAAGCGGGGTTAAGCGCTATAACTAAAGGTTTTTAGCTACGTAGCTAAAAATATAATAAGCTTATAGCTAAAGCTTATAAGTACCGTAATTAAAAATAAAAAGTCGAGCGCTATAGCTAAAGGTTTTTAACTACGTAGCTACTAAAAGTATAATAGGGGGCTATAGTTAAAAATAGAAAATTAAGTGCTATAGCTAAAAGTATAATAGAGCTATAGCTAAAGCTTTTAAGTACCGTAGTTAAAAGTTTAAGCGTAGTAACTAAAGCCTTTAGGCAGCGTAGTAAAAGCTTTTTTAATATATAATATATACTATTTTAAAAAGCTCTATAATACTCTATAAACGCTAGCCCGAGGTACGATAAGTATAGTATAGTATAAGTATTAATAAAAATAGCGTACTATATAAGAGTATTAATATATTATACTAAAAGGTAACGGGGCCTAGTATAATAGCTTACCCTAGCCTATAAGTAACTAAAGTATATTATAGTCTTAGTAAACTCGAGGTATAGTAAAGTATAAGCGCCGTAAAGAGTAGCGCTATATAAAAGTATTAATATACTATATTAAAAAGTAACGGGGCCTAGTATAGTTATTTACCTTAGCCTATAAGTAATTAAAATACGCTATAACCTTAGTAAGTACGGTATAATATAAATATTATAAATAGTACTATACGAGGGCATTAACGTACTATATTTAAAAAGTATAAGGATTAGTAAAAATAATAAAGAAGCGGCTCGGGGCTCCGTCTTTTTAAAATATAACTTAAGCTAGTAATATTAATAATAAGCCCCCCCTTAATAATTAGTATTAGCGCGGCGCGGGTAAGTAGTATTCTTAGTACGGTTTAATATAAATACCCTCCCCTCTAACTAACTAAAAAACTACGGACGTACTTATTATTACTATAACTACTCTCTAATAGCTATACTATAATAAAATAATATTATAAATACTAATACTTTAAATACTCTATAACTATATTAAGATATTAATTCGGGCCCCTCGGCCGGGGTCCGTTAAAAGTTTAGACTTAAGCTAAGGGGCTTATACGGACCAGGCCTAGGCTATTATACACAAGTATTATAAATAAATACAGAACTATAACGCTTACTTATTATAATATAATAGCTTTTTTTAAAAATAATAAGGTATAGTTAAGTATTTTTACGGGCTCTAAGACGTAATAACTATACTTTAGTATTATTATTATTATTAAAACGCGCCCCTTCCCTCTATTATTTTAAAAAGCTCGACGTATTTTAAAAATATAGAGGTATTATATAAGCTATAGTCCTAAAGGCTATAGCTCTAAAAGCTATAGCTTTAAAAGCTATAGCTTTAAAAACGATTATTATAAGAGTAATAGCCCTCTAGAGGCTATAGTTTTAGAAGCTATAGCTCTAAAAATAACTATTATAAAAGCTCTCTCTAGAGGCTATAGCTTTAGAGGCTATAGCTTTAAAAATAACTACTTTAAAAATAATAGCCCTTTAAAAAGTATAGCTTTAAAAACTATAGCTCTAAAAGTAACTATTATAAAAGTAATAGCCCTCTAAAAATAATAACTTTAAAAGCTATAGCTTTAAAAGCGACTATTTTAAAAGTAATAGCCCTTTAAAAAATATAGCTTTAGAAGCTATAGCTCTAAAAACGACTATTATAAGAGTAATAGCCCTTTAGAAATAATAGCTTTAGAGGCTATAGCTTTAAAAGCGACTATTTTAAAAATAATAGCTCTTTAAAAGCTATAGCTTTAGGGGCTACGGATCTAAAAACAATAACTTTAAAAATAATAACTCTAAAAATAATCGCTTTAGATATAATAAATAATAATAAATCTAAAAACTAAAAGTTATAAA